TGACTTGAAAATATGATATTGACGGAGAATAGATATATGGCGGTAAACATCCAATTTAAAATTTTTGAAAATTTTGGCTAATAAATGATATTTACCTAAACCCAAGTAGACTCATTGATTATGTGTGACGTATATATGAGTTTGGATGTTTGTAGATGGGTTTGGGTAGGGTATTGATATTTACTTTCATAATCTAAAGATGTGTATGATGAGTATGGATGCCTATTTATTCAAGGGTGTTTTAATTATACATACAAAAATTATACCTATTTATAGAACTTCAAAAGTTCTGGTACTAAGATGTAAAAAAAAAAATAGGTACTAAAATATAATATTTCATCAATATTTTGAGGACTTATATGTCAAAAAATAAATTTAGGTTACAAATCTAAAGATCTGTTAAGTATAGGTACCCAACTGCAATTTGCATAGTTGAAGCTTAATTCCTTATATGGTGATGTATTTAAGATGATAATAATTTACTTTTTTATAGAAAATAGAAAAAAATATATTTGATATCTATAATTGTTCAAAATTCCATGTATAATTGTTAAAAATTCTAGTTCTAGCCCGAGTGAAAAAGAAAAACTCTAGAGAGAAGCAAAAGGAATACAAACTGGAACTCACTTAAAATTTCATGTTTTCAAAGCTCAAATCTCATAGTGGAAAATGACGACTTTCTAATAAGTAATAGCCATATATTTTTTTTAAAATGGACTCAACATTGAGCTCAAAATGTTAGTGGTTCATGGTTCAATTATTAATTCTCTATATTGTTGGTCAGTCGTGTATGGACCCGTTCATATTTATGATTAGAATACATAAAAATAGTATGACTAATTAGAGTTAGACGAAGAAGGCACAGAATGAAATAAAGAAAGGGTTATGGAAGGCGAGTGAAAAATGAAACGAAGGGGAAGTAGACGATGGAAAGGTTTTGAGTTTTGACCAATTCTTTTAGTTGGCCGTCAATGCAATAGTCAACCCTTTTCACCTTAGCAATTTATTGACACTTGCTTATATAAATGTCTCATATTTTGTTACATGTAGTTAGTAGAAGTAATACCCCGTAAATTTACTAAATGAGTTAATAAATTTGCTCTTGCAATATTTTAGAATCGTCTCACTTTTATTTTATTTTTTAATGTTTCGCGTGATGAGCAAATATAAAATGGTCGAATCTTCTCCTACAGTTGAGTGATACAACATATTGTATGTATGGTACAAACTAAATTTATACTTTTATGTTAGACCATCTCCAACAACAAGGCTAAAATGCCAAATTTTGGGAAAAAGTCCCTCCAACAACCATGTTAAAATGCTTAAAAGCCAAAAAAATGGGAATTTTGTGGCTAAATTTGGCACACAAACGGACAAGAAGTGGGAAAAAATCCCAAACCCCACTTCCTCTCCTCGATGTACGTTCCATTCAATTAAAACACCATGAACACATGTAAACCCCCTCTAAACCCATAATTAAAACAAAATCAATCAAATTAAACCTATTTTTAATAATTGACCTGCATTAATACGTTATTGTTTGCATCTCTAGTCTTAATCCACCAATTATTGTATTTTCGTCACTAATGACATCATATTTAATAATGTATATTTTTTGTCAAAATTTAAAAAAAAAATTACATCAAAATGTTTGTTCTAATTAATTATAAGTACCTGCATACAAAGAATCTACAAACTATCTAATTAAAATGATGAAATCTACACTAATCTATATTACCACAAAATAGAAGGTTTGGCATTTTAGCATTCCTTATTGGAACAAAACCCACTTTTGGGGTGCCAAAATGCCAAACCCCTTTAGCATTCTAGCATTTTCCCAGTTTGTAGATTCTTTGTAGCTGCATACAAAGAATCTACAAACTATCTAATTAAAATGATGAAATCTACACTAATCTATATTACCACAAAATAGAAGGTTTGGCATTTTAGCATTCCTTATTGGAACAAAACCCACTTTTGGGGTGCCAAAATGCCAAACCCCTTTAGCATTCTAGCATTTTCCCAATTTGTTGCCGGAGATGGTCTTATGGTGGATTGGATTCATGGATTTGTTTAAAAAGATTGGTCGATTTGATTCATGGATTCAAGTGAAATCTAAACATTGGACCAATATGTGTAAAAGTAAAAAAAATGTACTTACGAAAATCTTATAAAATTTAGATACCAAAACATAATTGTTCAAGAATTTTACATTAAAATTAAATTTGGTGTATCAAAATGTAAAATGTACATTCTAGTGACTAAGTTATAATTTAATAAAATTTGGGGTATCAAATTGTAATACTTTAGGCAACGGTAACTTGCCTTCAACTTCCCTTCTCCCTTCGGTTGAACATATGATAAACCTTTGTCCGAGTGACTTCGTTCCTTTAGCGGACAATTCAGAAGAAATGGTAAGATATGGGCAAGAGTTCTCACGGATCTCCCTATTACCGGGAAACCTACAGAAGTAAGAATGGGAAGAGTAAAATGGCCACAACTATACAATTGGGTGTTGGGTGCTCAGTGCTCTGTGATCGTTGTATGAACGTAGTGGAAATTTCGTAATTAAGAAGTAATGCATTCATCAAATGTCTGCAAAGCCCCCTACACCAGATTAGACAGCTTTGGGTGCTGTAAAGAAATTCGTACCAATGGTGTTGTAATTAGCAGTGTTGGATTCTATACAAGAGCCAATGGATGCAGGAAATGTGGAGCATCTAAACCCATTGACTCTAGAGAGGTACACTCCATGTATATATTGGTGTTTGACCAAATTTAAAACTTGCAGGGATTCTTCCTTTCTTAGCTCTTCCAAGGTGATTTCTCTTGCTAAAAATGCTTAAAACACTAATTTCTCACTCTAGATTGACTCTCCTTAATCAAGAGCTATTGTGAAATCTGGGATACGGGACGCTAGCCACGGCTTGGAAGGTGTCATTATCGCAATACAATGGTTAGAAGACAGGTCACCTCCACGTTATAGTTGTAGCCATGACCATGCCCTTAGTGTGCAAAAATTCTTTGAATCTTTTATTCACCAAAATTCACGTGCTTCGAGATCCCAGTTGTTAACTCCAACTTGCGGCCATGATCTTTTCTCAGTGCATAGCCCCTTCTTTGCAACAAACTAGGCCACGAGACCTATTGTTTGTTTTTTAAGTCCAAAGAGGAAGATCATGGCCAAGTCACATTAAGCTCAAGCTCAGGATCCTAACCTTGTCCTAATTAACACGTAAAAATTCCCCGAATCCTCGATCTCTAGTCGTGTCTTGACTTAGTTTACGAGCTCCAAGATCCCAGGTGTGATCTCCAACTCGCGACCATGATCGTTTCTAATTAGCAGTCTCCTTTTGGCCACGAGTCTGGCCGCAAAACGTTATGTTCGTCTGATTTTCTTTATCGATGAGACTTGCACTTGTTCAGGCAGGGCCGGCCCTGAACTTTCGGAGATGTTTTTAAAAAATAAGATGATAACAAATGATAAACACACGATGATTTAACAAAATTCAGGGCAAGATTTACAATGAGCGCAACCAAGCCGCAAATCAAACATGACAAAACCTGTCGGAAACAAATATCTCTAATATTTGGTTCATTATATTATAAATTATGTTATATAATTTATGAACATATTCTAAATTTACTATTTGTTATTACAGTATTTTTATCTTAAAATTATAAAAAAAAAAAAGTGCCAAAAAATTTATTAGGTAGAAGTCTAGGATGAAAAGCCCATCTTCTTTGAATTATAAGCTTTTGAAAGTAATTTATAATGCTACTTTTACAATAACAACATTTAATATGCATTTGAAATCTACAGCATATAAAGTGCCAACAAATAACTATAATATTTGGTCAATATAAAATCCTACAATGCATAAAATATATGTTTATCTAATTTTTTGTGACACAAAAATATTGTTTTAATGGTAAAGCGAGGAAATACTCTGTTAATACATAAATTTAGACTTCCTGTGTCAATAAGTATCATCCAAATATGCTGCAAAAACACTATTAAGAAATCATTGCCAAAAGTCCAAAGTCCAAAATGCCGTATACATTTTTTCCGTTAATATAAATACCTATTGGTCTTCGTGACTCACGACTCATGAGGCTGAAAAACACTGTAGGAAGATTTTTTTTTTTTTTACGGTATAGGAAGCCTATTTTTTGGGAAACGGATTCCGACAAATGTTAAAAAAAAAGTAAAAAACCTTGTATTCATAAATATATGCAGCAATGAGTTTAAGGACTCTGTTTTTCTTTGTGTAGGCCCATACAAATCCAACAGCTGATAACAAACAAATAAAGCCCGTAACACACAAATGGATTATGTGAGGCCCCTATTTTCTTGAGGGCCTGTGCTGGGGGCCTGCCAGCACAGGCTCAGGGCCGGGCCTGTGTTCAGGCATGAGTTGCTGCCACCTGTGTGCTCAAATTGTCCATGCTTAACGAGTGCGGATCTGGTGACTAAGGGGGGTGCTTAGTCACTTGACTAAGCCCCTCCTAGCCATTGGATCTGGACACTTCAATCCAATGGTTAAAAAGTGGGAAGGACTATTTAATTAATGGCAGGAGTAGTTTGGGTATTATGAAAAATTACGAAGTATACAAACCGGATTTACAATCAGTACAAATCATACAAACATATGAACAGTACAAACTAGAGCGACAAAACATACAAACATATTTACAAACATTACAAACGTATGAACTGTACAAACAATACAAACTAGACCGACAAACAAAACATGACATGATTTAGTAATCTCAGTGACCAAATGTGGCATTTACCCATAAAAATCTTTTATTTTCTCTCCTTACCCTATCTTATTTTCTCTCTTTACCCTTTAATGATGTGGACAATTAGATCTCCCTTCTCTAATTACAACAACTAAATCTTCAAATATTGCATTTTGTGTTGGAATCTAAGAAGGAGGAGAAAATAGATTCATTAAATTAAATAAAATGAATTAATTACATCAAATAAAATTGTCAAATTCTTCGTAAAGGGTCCCCCTCTCGTCTCGTACTCTCGCTCCCTCCTTTCTTTCCCCTTTTCCTCTTCGCATCATAGAAGAAAGAAAACTCAAGACAGCAAAATAGTCGCTCCAGTTTGAGCTCTCTGTCTGTCTTTCTTATAATTCGAGTTTCAATGCCTGCCCAAAAGCGTCCGCTGCCGGAGGATTCACACCCCGACGACGATGACGAAGAAGCAGGAAGAGGAGAAGAACGGGGAGACTCTTCTCGACGCCCGTCGTCATCGTCGCCACCGCACCAGAATGGCAATCACCAGCATCACGGCTCATTCCCCGGCCAACCTCCGGACAATACTGTGCCAGCTCGAAGTCAGCTGAAAGCGGACGAGGAGGTGGAAGACGATGGTAATGAAGACGAAGATGATTCGGAGGAGGAAGACGAGAAGCAAGAGGAGGAGGCGGGAGAGGAGGAAGACGAGGACCCCGACGACGAAGAAGAGGAAGACGAAGAAGGAGAAGAGGAGGAAGAGAAGCGCCGCCGTGGTGCTGGAGGAGGTGAAGTTATTTATTTATTTATCACCCTGACATAGTAACGTAGATATATGTTATGCAATTGGGGAGGCGAAAGTCGGGGGACAGGACAATGTATTTGGGGTGTAATTTGCGGGGAATTGGGATTGATCGTTTTCTCACTTTTTCAGATTATGAGTCTACTCAGTCATCCAGTTCGTCGGAGGAGGAGGAGGAGGAAGAAGAAGAAGGAGACAAGCCTGAGTATAGTCATCTCTCTCTTTCTCTTTTCCCTTCCCTTTTTTGCTTGAACCTAGTTACATATACAGCTGCATACTTTCTTTAGAGTTGCGCAAGAGAACTGTTCAGTTGAAGGGATCGTAGTACTGGTGCTTATTGATATTTTTTGGAGTGAGCCGTGAAATTATTGTTCATTTGGGTCACTGTGGGGGTCAGCTTAATCTAGTTTGCAACGAGAAAGTCTTTCATGCCATGATTGTCGTTCAGATGTTGGTATTTTGATGCGAGAAAGCAAGTTATTTTTTTGTATTTGCTACTTGATTGAGTGGTGCTCAATCTTGTGCTAGAATGGCTTTGTTGAAAGTTGGTGTAAGTAGTAAAACTAAAGAAATGTGCTGTCACTTGTGGACCCTGCTAATCTTGAAAGTCATGCTTGAATGCTGCCGGGACTATCTGTAATAGATCGTATTGGCTTTGCAGCTTTCAGGAACTGCTTATTCAAATCGTAAATAATTTGACTGGGCTCAATCTGTTTCTAAAGTAATATATATATTTCTTTTCATATCTTTCTCGTGTAGAAGCTTTCCTTGACCTATTGGTTATGTTTACTTGATCTTGAAGCATGGATGTGAGATATGCCAAATGATGACATTTAAGAATAATGGAAGAAACAAAGTAAAGGCGAAACACAGCCATCCGGCATATGCATGCATGTCATATTTCTTCTTTTCCTGGTTGAGTTGATTCCAGATGCTTGCAATCATGTTCACAACTGATAACTCCTTAGGGTTTGAGTCTGTCAACTAAAGATTAAAGGAAGGGATGGAGATGAAGACCCTCTGCAGAAAACAATATAGAAAGAGGGGGAAAATTGTTGGATGCTGGAATTTGAAGTCTTGAGAAAGTTACCCTGCATATGCAATGCTTAAAGCCTTCTTTGTTGCTATATTTATATTTTCTATGAGCATGCATGTCCATGCAATCACACGCTTGCACACTTGTGTCTGATATATCTTTTGGTGTACACATGTTACCTGCATTTGTTACTCTACCAATTGAATCAGACATATCACCCTGAGCGATGGAACCAAAACTTTAAATGATTGATGAGCGGAAGCCATTAATATATCTTCTTTTATTCTTAGTCTGATATTTCTGCAGTCTTTCCACTGCAAAATGTTTACTAGTGATTCGAATATCCAACAATTGCATAATTATCTTTTTGCAGGTTTGTCTTTGTTGAACTACCAGAAATTCGTAAAGATGTGCAATGCCCTATATGTCTAGGTACTGGTTTGGATTTTTGTTTCTTCCTTCAGTTGATTTACTTATTCAAGTCACCATGTTTCAAGATGCATTGCAGGTCCATTCTGTTGAGTCATCTCTGCAATCTATCTCTCTCCTCTCCTTATATTACTTTGCCTGTATTCTTAGTCTGTCTTTGAAAAAAATCTCTAAAATCACGGAAAAAAATTTAAAAGCAGTAGAAGATAAGATATAGTGGAGTAATTGAATTGCTACTTCAGATAGACTTCAAGGTGTGCTTCTATAGTGCATGATCAGTGCGTAAGTCAGCGTCCATGGTGATTAGTTTGCTCTTTGCTTAATATGAGTTGATAAACTCAGTTTCCTTGTTTTTGGAGGGTAGGAAAATGTCTTCCTCGCCTCTTTTTTATGCTAAGAATTTGGACAGTTATCCAACATCTTGCCGTTATATGTCTATCTCAAGTCTCATTGCTGATGTCATAGGAAATTGAAAACCGAAAGAGACACAGTTCACAGGTTTACTTGAACGTTACAGTTAAGTTTTGTCTGTGCATCCTTCTTTGTGGAAACCACCCTTGACTATTTTCTATGTTTAGTTCCAGCAAACTTGCCCATCAGCCAGCTCCACCTTTAAATATTTGAACATACAACCTGACTACCTTGCGCCCAGGTTCTCCTCAGCTGCTGCTGCTGTATACCTTATGGATCTGTAGCTATGTATCACCTATGGCGCACTAATAAATGCTGTTAAATATAACTCCTCCCTCTCATATCAAAATTTTACTATATGCTAACTGAAGGCTTCCGGTATTTCCTTGTGTCTGAGTATCAATATCCTGAAGTCTTTTGGGTACTCATCTGATGATGGATTCAGAATATATACCTGAAATAGGTTAGTAGGCGGAAAGGATATGGTAGTTCTGTTGAAATAGTTGGTTACTCATCGGAGTAGATGTGGTACTTCAGTAAGTGCTTATCGGAGTAAATTGTTGGCGTTGCTCTGCTTTTCTTTAGTTAATCTTACTCCTGTCAAAGTTCAGCTTATCTAAGAAACCATATTGAATGCAGGGATTTGATGTACTATGTTTCATAAAAGTCAGTGTTGCCATTCGAAAATGGGGCCGAGAGATGCTCATTTTCCTTAAATCCTATACTAACATAAGTGTAAAAAATGCTCATTTTCCTTAAATCCTATACTAACATAAGTGTAAAAAATTTCACATAGCCTTGTTGTCTACTTTTACGTCAACAATAAACATGCAAGGTCGTAAGATATCGTTGGCAAAGATCTCTAGTCTCGAAAACAGCCAGGGTGACCCATTTCCACTAGTAGAGAAGAGTGGGTATCCTTCCATCTAGCCATGCCTCACTTGCCAATATAATTCTCCTTACCATATTTCGAATGCGTGACACAATATCCACATCAATATAGAAATTTACTACAATTTCTTACTTCCCCTCCCCCCTTCTCTCTGTGAATTTCTCCCTGTTTGTAAGTGAAGGTGATGAATTGCATATATGTAGTGGGTTTAAGACACTAGTTAAAGATCAATCTCTTCCTTTGTGTACTCAAGAAAATGTATGTTGGAAGCACAAGATTCGGAACTTGCTTATCAATCTGGAAACGTTCTGTTCTTGGTCGTATCCTTATATTAGTTTCTGCCAGCAAATCCAGGAATGCAAAAGCAGTGTCCAAGATTTAACCAGAGTGGCTTTTGCAAATCTTGAAATGACTTAGCTTAGAAGTAGATTTTTCAGATCCTGAGTCTTCAGTCTTTCGTTTATGAGTTACTTACATAAAGCTAAACGGTGTTCTTTCTTTGACTTGTATAGGGATCATAAAGAAAACAAGAACTGTCATGGAGTGCTTACACCGCTTTTGCAGGGAATGCATTGACAAATCCATGCGATTTGGGTAATGTACAACATAATGCATTCATATTCTAGGAGTTTTCTGTTACATATTTATCTTGTAAAATCTGGTATTATTCATTTATTAGGAGTGCATCGTGGTGAATAATCAATAATGTAACATGTCGTGATAATAATTTACGCTTGTTGCAGGAACAAAGAGTGCCCTGCTTGCCGTACCCATTGTGCAAGTCGACGTTCTTTGAGAGACGATCCTAACTATGATGCTTTAATTGCAGCTTTATATCCTGATATTGATAAGTATGAGGAAGAGGTAAAATATTTTGACTAGTCCTATTCGCCTGTCTTTTGGTTGTGTACCACAGCTTTTCCTTGGTTTGAGCTTTTTGGCTGATTCAGTATTTGGTGCAGGAATTGGCTTTTCATGAAGAGGAAAGGACTCGAAACAAGCAGGTGCTTGCTTTAATTTTTTATTAGATCGACTATGGATTTATTTTCAGAAGAAAGAACCTTTTCAATAGTGGTACTTTACTGTGTCTTTATATAGAATATTCTGCTTATTATGAAACATATCATACCTGCATTTGCTTCACATTCACACCACATATGGAAGTGTCTGTTATAATGAAGCAACTTACATGTGTTGGTTATATCAATGACTTCATTACGAAAAAATCATTTGGTTTGCTGCAGTAACTTTATAGGTCATTGGTTCTTAAGAGTTTACTTTACACTGTCAAACTAAAGTGTCAGAGGGCTGCTATACGAAAATTGACTTAAGTGCGCCTTGCAACTCTAGTGAGCTAAGGCTCTATACATTTAACTTGTTTCACTTTTGTCTTCGTCTGCAAATTCCCATGGGCTGCGCAATATCCATGGCAAGTCTCTTTCTCCTCATACTAGTACTGTCTTTGTCTATTTGAACACTGTCTGATCTTAGGTAAATTCTTCTGTGTAGGTCTGGAAGTTATTTGTTTGACTTCTTTTGATAAGCTTGTCTGTATCTAAGTTTCATATTTCACACTTTGCATGTTCAATAAAAAGTTGCAAACTGGTCCTGTCTCTCAGATCTATGTGCAGACAAGCAATTGCAGCACAGGATTTGTTGATTCATGGTAGGCTCAGTTTTTTCTTGGGTAGAAATCAATTTGATTTTCTTGGTCCATTTTCTTGATTTTAAATCTATGCGAACTCTTGCACAAGCAGATTGTTTGCAGAAGTGAGTTGATTTTAGAGTAGAACTGTTAGGTTGGATTGGATCCATATGATTTTTAGCAGTCCCATATATATTTGTATTTTATCAAATTGTGTTCATGAGAAGCTTTTACTCTAAATGATAGAACGCGGGGTCTGCCAAATTTTTTGCTTCTTTCTGTTTTGTCTGATGGCACACACCTTCAACTTTGCTTTTCCCGGAATTTGCTTTAGACCTTCAACTTGTCTTTCTATTCTCTTAATTTGCTCTCATTCCTGGTACAGACCGTCTGCTGCGTGTTCTTGCAGCTAGTTCCTATTTGTTTTTAAATTTGTCGAGTAGAGTTTGGTTTAAGAGTATTTAACTCTGAAAAATACAGTGAAGCAAAACTCATCAAATTCTATCCTTTCGTTTCCCTTCTTCGATACTCAAAATCCTTGGAAGACATTGCCTAATTTGTTTTTGTCTATGTTTTGATGTTATTTCACTGCTGCGTTATGTCATATATAAGTTTGTAATTTATCTGCAAGGAGATACTATGGGTAACCTCTAAAAACGGTATATGCTCTGTTGATTCATGCTGGAATTGTGTTCTTCTGGTGCATATGAGACCTGTGATTTGAAGCATAATCTTTGTGAGAATGGAGACATGGTTCTGTTTGAAGTTTGGCATAGCTGTTCTTGTAATGGCTGTTAGGATTTGCAGTCTGCTTTATGTTACACTCAGATTCTGAATTCATAGAAATTAAGGTGTTCATTATAAATTACCAGAGAGCTTTCTACCAAATTGTGTTGTACACTCCGGCAACCCCTCTACCCGTCTCTCTCGACATAATAGATGCACAACTCTTAACTGAAAATTAAAACGAGTTCTGAAAACATGTATTAGAAGGCAGGTTATAAGTATTTGTTCATCCAGAATCTGCACATAGGCTAGAGCCCCAGACTTTCATCCATTAATCCTGACATTGGATTTGTCCCATTTGGTACAGTATCTGTTGGAGAGTTATACGCTCATGTGGATTTAGGCAATTAAAAGGTCCATGTCTTGACCTGTTCACTGTTTATTCCCCCTGGTTGTGGATTATAAATTTGTTTTGTTGGTTGGCTACCATTGGTGTGGTATCACAGTGATGGAAACATGGGTTGCTAGACAGTTACCTAATTGGTAGCTGCTGTTTTCGTAGGTGGTTATGGATATATCAATTAAGGCGTTTGTTAATACTTCTTTGGACATTCATTAATGAACTTCAGAAAGTTTTCATGCGTGGTTATAAGAGACATCCATCTTTTCATTACTGCCATTCTTCTACTTGGCTAAATTCTTGTGTGTATGGTTCATTCATCTCAGTTATTTAAGTACAGAAGGTACGGTAACATATGCTGCTGTCTTTTTTTTATTAAGTTCCATATGTCTGATGTTGATGCCTTTGTTCAAGTATGCATCTTCTTTCCTGAAATTATGGATGATGTTGTCTTTTTTATGCTTTCGAAAGACCAAGTACCATCTCATAATGCCAAAGTAAATCCTTTTCACTTCCTTTGAATTCTGTATGATCAGATACAAGCATCTATAGCCCAAATATTCCAAAGACAGTCAGAAGCATTGGCAAGGAGACGGACCATTGGAAAAGAATCAACTGCACAATTTGCCTCCAGATCACAAAGGAACCTTCGAACTACTCAATCAAGGAGACAGAGAAACAGAAGAAGTATGGATTATCTAGGATCTGAAGATATGGAGGAAGAAAATAATGAGGACACTGTAGGCGGCAAGGATTCGTCCTCTGCTGATGAACGATCTCCAGAAGCGAGGCCGAGAAGACGAAGGAGACGACCAGGGCTGAGGACCTCTCATCAACCTTCTTCATCAGGTGTGAATTCTGAAGGAGTTGCTGCTGACAATAATGATCAAGAAACTAGCCGAGACCACCAGGGAGTGTCTCCCGTGCTCCCATTTATTAATACTGAAATGCTTAACTGGGGGAGGGGTGGCACGAGAAGCAACACCCGGCATGGCGTTGCTAGTAGCAGCAATAATAGGCACATGCGGAACAGTCGCATATTAAAGCTGACGGAACATCTTAAAAATACATCAGCTGAGGACAAAAATGAGGAAGAGGTAAATGATCTAACTTTGTTTTAGCCTAATATTTGGTAATATTGATGAAACATGTTTTTGGTTAGGGTTTGGACGAGGTTGAATTTATCGGATACGAGATGTTGTTTAGAAAGAAAAACGTAATTGATAGGATGGCAAATTGCTTGAATAATAATGAAGAAATTAATGGGTTTGGGAAAAAATGACTATTATGGATAACTTTAAAAATATACTTTTATTCTGAATGGGCAATGTTAGAAATGTAATTTCATTTAGGAGGTATCTTTTCGATTTGAATAATTTGTGGAATTTACGGTGAATAGCTGTTTTAAAAGTTGGAAGAACAAATGTGTTTGTTTTAGCCCTACCTACTGGCATTGTTTTCTTGAACAATCCTGCATTCTGGTCTTTTCACCTTAGTGTCCTATTGGGCAATGAAATGAAAGTATGCCTACATAAAAGTAACTTCACTGGAATGTTCTAAGTTCGGTTTTCGTTCCATGCCATATTGACTGTCATTGTCTAGTCATTCCCACTGGCATTGTTCTCTTGAAAAAATCCTGCATTCTGGTCTTTTCACCTTAGTGTCCTCTTGGGCAGTGAAAGTATGCATACATAAAATAATCCCCATTGGAATGTTTAAACTTCGGTTTTGGTTCCATGCCCTATCGACTGAAAATGAATGAGGAAATGAATTTAGGAAATCGGGAATCTGAAACCTCATGACTGCATGTAGAGATTCGTTTTGACTTGGGGAATGATAAAAGAGGATATGGAAGACCCTGCTGCACTGAACTGACAGAAATCAGGCTATTAGAGAAGTGGTCTTGTCAGTAGCTTAGTGAATCTCTATCAGACTCGATCTACCGAAATCTGACTAATCAAAGAAGCCTCCTGATTATCATGCATCTGAGTAGCATGAGTTGTGTTATGAAGAACTTGTTGGATTCATCATGGTTCCAGTGACCTAACTTGCTATTTCTTGTTTTAACAGTTGTATCTGAATCTGATAGTACTTCCCCTGGGGAAAGAATCCGCACCAAGTTTGGAGCAGCCTTATATTCGCTGCCGATCCACCTCGTCTATTGGGCAAATCCGTGAGGTTAGTTTTCCTGCCCTAACCTGTGTAATCTCTCCCTTCTGCATGCCTGGCAGTTCTCTCAAAGGAACACTAAGTTATTATCACATACTCGTGAGAATAATACATCATGTCACATCACGCCTTATTGTTGCATATAATAGAATACATTTTTATCATGAGAACACATAATATTGAAGTGGAATCTTGGGCAAAGATGGCAACTTTTGGTTCAGATTCCTTGCTTCATGCCTTCATCAATAGCTTTTTGTTTCCCCCTCATAGTTTCTGTGAATATCTGAAAACAGGGTTTGAATTCTTGCATCTCATAGTTACTTAGTCTCAATAACTGTTTGCTTCCTCGAATTGATGTTGAAAAGCCACAAGGCCTGGCATTGCCTGTGAAATCTGTTAAAATTGTGTGGAGAGCAAATAACGCCATCTGACGGCATCTGGTTCTGTGACTGGCACTGAGGATCTTCTTTACACTATCTTTTCTATATCGATTGGATTGATTCCTGTTCCGCCTTTTTCCTTTGCTCACTCTGGTGGGTGGAAAAATTTTCTGCAGTTCATTGCTCAGAAATTGTCTTTGGCTGCTGAAGAAGTGGATCTCTTTTTGGTGGCTGAATTCTATGATGTGCTTCCCACCCTGGAAACTCCATCTTCCAAGGATGGTATGCGGGTATTGGTAAATGACGAGGAAACATTGGCAACGCTAACAATAGGCCGGGCTGACTTCCCCGCGAGCTATGTTCCCAGAAGTTATCTGGTCAGTGTCAGACCTAGCTAATGATGTTGCTCAGGCTTGATTAAAACTAACTCTTGCACTTTTTTTTTTTTTTTTTTTTTTGCTGCTGTGAGCAGATGATAGCATTCAACAAGAAGGTGAAGGTTGAGCGGGAAGCTGTTGCTAGTGGAGGACGAATGGAGGCCGAGGCTTCGGGAGCTAAGGAGGAAGTGAAGGAGGAGCAATAAAAGAAAGAGGCTTCTGGAGGCCGAGGCATGTGTCCTACAAAATAATGTAGCTTTGTAAAGTTATGGGTTTGCAGTATAAGGTCAAAACCACAGCCTAAAAGGTGATAGTCCTTCGCCTTGAGGCTTTGCTGTTGTGTTATAGGGCTCTTTTATCACAACTTGAAGTAGGCGGTCCTTGTAGGACTCTTTCTTTCCCTTTTTAATTTATAAACCCTGAAAAATGAAGGAAACCTTGTCGGCAATAAGCCTCAGTTTGTTTTCTTAAAGATTTACCTTACCATTATTGAGTCCGAAGCTCAATAATGGGTGAACAGAAACGGTATCCTTTTTTGGCAGCTGATATTCGTTGTCTTAAAATCCTTATTCGTCCTTCTAAATCTCATTAAGAATTAAGATTATGTGATTGTCCTTTGTTTATGTTGTCTTTTTTTTTTTTTTAGATAAGGGTGATATAGGTTTTTTTTTTGTTATTAGGTACTACTTAAGGGATTCGAATAAGGTACCTCCAGGTTCATGACTAGTGGTATTACCACTAGACCAATCCCTTGTTCGTTTGTTTATGTTGTCTTTCAAAACCCATAAACTCAAAAATAAACCCAAACCAAAGTATTTTTATCCCAAAAAAAGACAACTGAACCAATAAAATTAAGAAACGAACTACACATAAACATCTTTCATTGGTCACTCTTTGATAGGGTTCATTGACCTCAATGGAGTTCCAAACTCCTGCTATCCTGTTAGGTGTCCTCGTTGAGCATAATTAAACTCCAAATCGTTGCATTTTAGTCTAGGATTGTTCCGTATTTAGTATGGATAGGTTTTACACATGCAATGCAAAGGTTTAGATGATTTTGGAGCAAAGTTGGACAACAAGTGTGGGGAGAAGCTGAAATGGAGTTTACGATCTCTAGCAAAAGATCACGACCGTGATTCCCATGTGATCTAAGTTCATGGGAGAATGAAGAAGATCACGACCATGATCTTTGAGACTAGGTTGTGAGCCTTAACAATAAAAGATACAAAAGAAGCAGAGGGTCTCACAGCCAGACTCACGGGCGATAAAGATAGACCGCAACCTGATGAACAAGGTCGCGAGAAAAAATCACAACCTTGAAGCTCAAGGAATTAGTTGGTTGCACGACGATTGAGCCAAGTAGTGATCTAGAAGTGTTTAAATGCATGATCATTAACTTAAATGATACCTCAATAGATTCTTGTATCATAAATGAGTAGGGGATAACATTAATGTTCCATTCCATTGATTACGTGCTAGAGCTAGGGGGATACCAATCCCAAATACCTCATTTCTCGAGTTGGAACAAAGTTGCGATGTAGTTTCTTGACGTTTGGAAGTGAATCCCTACCAAATTGATTGATAGAATAGTAGCAAAGTTTTGAAGTAGCGATAGATTCCATGACCCATGAGAATACGACATTGAAGCTCAACCATATGGCATGCCACTTAATCAATGTATACGTGACTTGATTGAAGCTTGTACAGGTGTTTCCCGAACATAAACCTTAAAAGGACAAATAAATACAGTTCAACATTACTTTGCTAAATCTGGAGCTGGCCTTCGATTTTAGGGATGCGATTTGTTATTTTCTTACCTTTCTCTGATCTTTTTGGGATTTGTTAGCTAGACAGCTTGCATTGCTAGTTGAAAGACCCAGCTTGGAGTTGTGTGGTAATGGATGTGGGTGTCTAACATTAAGAATCTGAAATTTCCATCAATGGACAAACGGTTAGTTAGATATAGCTTGCGTGAAAGTTGTACTTGAAAAGGGGTAATGTTAGCATAAGCAACAGTCACCTGTCTTGATTTCCCATCTCCAAGCTTCTGCCGCTTTATGGTCTGGACTGGTTCTCATGTGCTAAGGCGAAAGCTCCAGTAGGATTGTTTATATTGTTACCTCCTCTGTAAAGGAAAGGAATCCATCCAACGCACCTCATAATTAAAATATTGACTCAGAAGCTAGAAACTTAAGGATGGAACGATAACAGAAATATGCCCACTAACTTTTTCACACTTGACGGAGGTTTGAAGTTGGATGAATTCACGAGCACGAGGGAAGCTCGGGAGGACGAACCCCCATTCAGCCGGAGACCAAGAAGCTTAGGAAAGATGCTGGGGCGGACGACAAGAAGGCAGGGTTGTAAATTTTAAGCAATATCAAACTTGGAATGACTCCTTCTTCTTTGCCTGAACGCTGTAGTGGTGGTAGTTTCTGTTGTCGAAAAACCGGACGCTCTGATTTCCGTTTTCCAATAGGATTATGATTATTTCCATTCTACAATAGGAATACGAATGGCAGTAGGATTCGGATTTATCATCTCAGCAGTATATAATATATACACACACACCAAAAGGCTCTCCATTACAAAGCTTCTTTTTTCCCTTGGCCGAGTATTTTAAGTTTTGAGTCAGCAATCTGACTGTTACATTATGACAAACTCGCCGCCGTCTAGCCCAATTGGAGACCAACCTCCGGCCGAGGAATCTAATCACGACGATGAAGAATCCGATAACGACCACGTTGAGGAAGAATCCGATCGCCACTCCGCTGCGGACGAAGAAGAAGCAGAAGCAGAAGCAGAAGACAATCAACCACCACACTCGCCGCGTCCTGCCCCTTTCGAAGCAGTTTACAGCTGCCGCCCCTCTTCTAATTCCCTGGAGAACGGCAATCAGATTCGAATGCCGCAGTCGGCTCTGGCGCGCCTCCTGATGGACGACCAAGCGCTGACCCCGGGCCAGCCGATGCTGTTCCAGATCAGCAATCCCGAGTCGGGCCGAGTCTCGCACTGCGGGGTCAGCGAGTTCACCGCCGAGGAAGGCAGCGCGCACGTCCTGAGCTGGATGATGGAGAATCTGCAGCTCAAGGAGAGCGACGAGGTTCGGATCAAGAGCGTCCGCCTCGAGAGGGGAAGCTACGTGAAGCTGCAGCCGCACTCGGTGGAATTCTTCGCGTCGATTCGGAACCTGAAGGACGCGCTGGAGGGCAGCCTCAACCACAGCTTCTTCTGCGTGACTACAGGGGACACCATCCTGATCAGCCACTGGGGGAAGGAGTTCTACCTCAATGTGGTGGAGACGAGGCCCGGCCCGGCGGTCAGCCTTGTGGATACGGATTGCGAGGTGGAGTTCGACACCCCGCTGGATTACAAGGAGCCCCAGCCCAAGGAGAAGAAGAAGAAGCGAGATGCTGCCGGCGAGTTGTTGGATGAATCGAAGGAGACCAAGTTTGTTGCTTTTACTGGGAATTCGAGGCGGCTGTCGGGTGAAACAGGGGAAGCTCCGATGGACGAGGCGGTTCAGCCGGAGGCCAAGAAGCTAAAGAAGCTTGCTGCGGCGGAGGACAAGAAGGCAGGGGTGGAACAGGGGAAGTTTGTTGCGTTTAGTGGGTCTGCGAGGCGGCTGAGCGGTGGAGGAGGAGGTGTTCATCAGAAAGAAGATTCGGGTGTCAAGGTAACCGATGGAGGTAAGATGGAGAAGAAAGAGGGGAAAGCAGAAAGCAGTGGTGCGAAGAAGGAACCCTGCAAGCCATTTACAGGAAGGAAGTACACGTTAATGGATTGAGTAGTGTCTCGGGTTCTTTTTTCAATTTTTAGGGATCAATTTGTCTGGTTAATGGGTTTTGAGGATTCAAATTTGTATATGGTAAGAAATTTTAAATCTTATACGTAGGTCAGTAGGTGTGAGATATGACACTGATTCAAAATTGGTAGAAATTCTAAACTATGATGGTCCTTTACTTTCATATTCTCATTTAAAAATAAAAATGTTTTGAGTTAAGAGTAACACAAACAACAAAATTTCTTCAATACATCACAAATTCGGGATTTTAAAATCCGATATTTTAACTAAAAGCCTCAATTTCCAGATCCAACAAGCAAATGAGTCCAAGATTTACTGAATATGCCACCAAATTTACCCTATTTACCCTTAAAAGAATTGAAAATGGGAAAAAAAAACAAAAAGAGTTCATATGGGCAAACTTGAAATGAACAAAACAAACATGAAAGCATAAGGAGGAATTTTACTATGCTATAAAGCATAGGTGCTTTAGTTTTTCCTGTTGTGGTACAACTTGAAATTATAATTTTAATGTTATGGTACAACTTTAGGTTGTACCTATACCTTTTTGTAAAATCTCTTTATGGTACAAATTAAAGTTATACTTTTATGTTATGGTACAACTTGACAACTTGAAGTTGTACCATAACATAAATGTCAAATTCTCTTATGATACAACTTCAATTTGTACCTTTAACGTTATGGTACAACTTTAAGTTGTACTTAAAACACCGATACTTTAAAGCATAGTAGAAGTGCTCAAGCATAAGTCATCTAGCATGTGGGTTTAACCAAATTGAACATTTAAATATGGAGTTTTCAATCCGCTAAGGCTCGTTGATTTGGCACCTTATCTATTTGCAGACAAACATCGGACTTGGGAAAATCTCTAAACCCCTTTATCCAAACAACTCTTTAGTTTTAAGTTCCACATTAGGGTTTTGCATTTGTGAGTGTTAAATGTATTTCAACGAACCAAAATCATCGATCATTGTATTTCAACAAACCAAAATATGTGGTGGCAATAATCCCACGACAATCGCGTATCTAGAATCGAAGAAAAGGGTGGACACCCAAATCATCCTAAGACACACAATTGACGAGAAAAACTAGTTGTTGAAACTGTTTTAGGCAGACGTAATATGCATTGCTGACATTTCAGTGTTTTAGGGAGTTGATTTTGACATGGCCTACAAAAATTAACATGCCTCTTGTCATATTTATAGGTGACCAGTTTATTCTTACCATATTTGACTATATAATGTTAAACAACTCTTTCCTAGCATAGGTGGAAATCTAGATCTTGCTTGTTGTTAAGTCGCGATTTATAGGTGACCAGTACTGGATCGATTGCTTTAGTCGAGGGTCGATTCATTGCTTTGTATCGATTGAGAACCTCATTCGATAGAGGGAATCTAGTTCAGAATGCCTTGATAAGTTGTTCTAGAGAAGGATACGTCTCTATAGGCAATCGACTCAAGAGGGCCTTGACTTCGTATGTCGAGATTCAAGGTCTAGTCAAGGATTCTCCGCATTGTGAATGAAAGTGAAACAAGTTAGAGATCATCAATCATTAATCTGGCTAACGGTTAAGGGGAATCATATCTAAGTGAGTTCTCAACCTGTAGTTAGTAGTCTAACCTAGTTTAGCTTGTAGAGTAGTTTAGTTAATAAAACCTCAATCTGATTTGCTAGATAATGAACTGAAGCTGAGTAATTGCATCTAGAGACCCAAGGATTCGATATTCATTACTTGCACCACTA